AACTTAACACCTAGCAACTTAATTAAATCCAAAAACTGCAAACATAAACTCGTTACAAATAAAGTGCAAAGAGACCAAATCAGCACATTGTATACAAACATAAACCAAGTTATATGAACTAATTCTTTACAATGCGGTCCCGGCAAGAACATGATTCTAAATATCAAGCAAGCTTAAAGATCATAACAGGAGAACCATCCCATAGTTGACCCCAATATAGAATCCCAAATCGACTTTCACTTAGTTTGTTATCGTAATTAAAATTGTTTGTTGCTGCATGATGTTCCTTAAGTGAAAATATCCTCAATGGTGGCTCATTCTTCAGCTTCTTTTTCCCGTGTAAATTTGTGATTTCAAACAAATAAACATAGGTTTCTTTTTTCAACCTTCTTAGGTTATAAATTCTGCAAACTGAAACTAATCCAACAGTAGATGCGATTCCAACAAAAGAACAAACTTTAACACTAAAGAACAGATTTTGAACAAGTAAAAAGGTTCCTCAATTTCAACCATCATAAACTCGAAAATCTTATATAAATCTCAAAATCTTAATTAAAATAAAACAATATAACCAATCAAGCCTAGAACACGACTATGGAGAAATCAGATAAAAACCCAAAAATCCACCAACAAATCAGTATAAAAGTATATTTAGCAATCAAATCCGTTTCCACAACAGAGGCAACTACTCTGAACAGAAACTTTAATCGCTTTTATTTCTCCAAGAAGAGAACAAATTTATTAGAATCTTCGAAATTAACCATAAGAACCCGATGACTGAAGCAGACTCATTGCAACTGTCGCATACCCAGCCATGGATCGGACGATAAAGAATCTTCAACGTAAAGAGATGAAATGAGTCTAGTCACTGAAAATATCTAACTGAACCTGGAAAGAAGAGATCTCACATGAGGTTAAGTTGAAAAGCGATAGTATGCTTACCAGCGAATATAGCGACATATGTATATTGGACAGAGCCAGAAGTTGCTACGACGGGAAAACTTACTACTACAGGCTTTGGCTGAGTGCCCTAATGTGACGAATGGATTCCTTGTTGATAGGTCAAGAGAGAAGAAGTGGAAAGGTTGAAACTTGAAACTAATCAATAGAGAATGTTTTTGGGGAAGAAGTAGAGATGCGAGTTTTTGTGTGTTTATCTTTTTGAGTTGAAATAAATTAAAAACAGAAAGATAAAAAAACAAAAATTGGTGACACGTGTCAAAATGCTGGAAATGATTATTCTCCTTTCATATATATGATTTGGATCTAATTTATTTAAAAAAAATGATTGTTTTGACAATTATTAATTTAAACTACTAGGTAAATAAATAAAGCATGGCTATATTTAGTAAAGTTGTAAAAACAAATATAATCCTAAACCAAATGCATCATTACATAAGATAGAACAGGCGGATTCGGTTTACATAACCTACAACGTGGTGTGTGGCAAAGCCGTCGACATCACTGAAATTTTTGAAGAGATCCTGGAATTTTGTTGACAACGGATTACATGTTCATGGGAGGAATAAGATCCTTGTTTTTCCCTCATACATTGTTTATCCGTGCATCATTGGTTATGAATAAAAATTACCAACAGTATGGAACGCAACCCCGCAACTACTTCTTCAAAGAAAACAGAATGATAGTAATGACCGATCCGAGCTACGAAAGCTGCTCCTATCAAACGTCTGCAGCAAACCATAATTCAGTTCTGTTTATTGGTGTAATATTTATATTTCTCATGTAATAAATATATTTCTCTTTTAGTAAAAAAAAATATATTTATTTTTCTCATGTAATATAAGTGAGCGCTAACTCATATACCCCTTAATCGAAAACTTCATTCTGAAACGTCATAAAAATAAAAAATAGTTTTGTTTTGATTTATTTTGAAATAAAAAACCGTGTAAAGACTAGTATACTTTACGAATCTGCATAATTACTGACCCAACCACACATCCGACCGAGAATTCGTACCCTAACTCGGACCCGGCAAATAAAAACCCCTAATCAATATTAAAACAAAATAAAGAAAGTGAAAGCTTAACTTTATTGATTTTTCCCATTCTTCTTTTTCTTTCTTTTTGCCGTAGGCGATTTGTCAGTTTTAGATCTGTTGTCGTTCGCCACTGACATTGTCGCCTTCTATGTTCCCATGTCTCCGACTCCATCTCTCTACTACAGGGGACTTCAAGGTAAGAAATGACATCTCTTGTCTTATAGATCTGTCATAGTTTTTGATTTTGTGTTTGATTTGTTTTGCAACTAGGTTTTGATTTGGGAGAAAGGGTTTTGATTTCAACTATGGTTTCGATTTATCAAACTTAATTATTAACTTTTTACTTTTTATTAAAAATAAAATTTTATTTATTCAAAGCTTTTCAAACAAAATTTAGTGGATTTAATCAAATGTAAGTTTTGTATTAATGTGAAAGAAAGAAATAAAAAACACTTCCTCTTTGTTCCTCCACATTCCTCCGCAATATAAATGGTGTTAGATGAATTCATCTAAATTCTAAAAATTCATCTAAATTCTTCCATATTTCTCAATTGTTTCGTTACGAGTTAGAGCCATCTCTCTTGGATACAAAGTGAGATTCAAACATTAACCGAAATGTATTGAATGAAAATTGATCTCTAATCTACCTTGACTATTTTTGGCATTTATTTCTGAGTCATTATAATTTTTGCCAGACCAACCCCACATACATCTCAATTAAATAAATGGAATTAATTATACAACGGCATTTAATTGTTGTCTAACAAGTAGATTTCAAAAATCGGTCGGATGTGGAGCTCCGTCATTGGTCAACCTATTGTCACTAGATTGATTGTTTTGCGTCACACAGATCTGTCTCACTCTCTTACCCAAACCAAATCTTCCTGCATTTTCATTATCTACACGTTTTCTTATTTCCCAAGCTTACGCATACCATTCAACAAACCACACGTTATATTATGGTTTGAAATATTTTTATACAGAAACAAATTTAGTATGCAACAAATTTTATTATCACCTAAGACAAATATAGCAGTCTAGTCCAAAAAAAAAAAATTCGTTCACCCTATTTTCGCAACTATTATATTAAAGGGCTAGTTTGCTTAATAACCAAAAAATATTAATAATTAGGAAACTAACCAAAATTAATCTATGTGGCATAACCATATTCACTAGATTTAGATTAATTGGATAGATTTTAAATTATAGTTTTTTTTTTGGTTATTCAACCCAATTTTCCTATATTAAAACCATCTAG